CAGCCGCCCCCTTTTTGGGATGGTGATCCAATCGGAAACCTTGCGATCTTACGATGGTACTTTTGCCCATGAGGACCACATCCCGGCAGTTCTGTCCTTGCGAGGATGGATCAATGCCCAACAAGCTGCCCCTCAGCATGTGTGGGATGAATTTGCCTTGATGGATCCGATCCGATGCACTCAATTTCAAGAGGCCCTCGCAACACTGCCCATCCCTCCTTGGGAGGTTACAGCTGATGCGCATAACCTGCTGTACGAAACCCAGTACATCCAACTGGCCAAGCAATTTTTCACCAAACAAAAAGGCGCGAGAAGGCGCCCAACCCTAAGTGCCTCCACATTAGACGCCATTGCCTTCAAGAGACATGTACTAGACTGTGGACGAGCCTGGACAGCCATGACCGACCCTGAGTTCAAGGAACAGCTCAAGCTTATTGAACGCACAGTTCGTCGCCTTGTGTCTGCTGACCTGCAAGTCTTCTTTGATCAGATATTGGTACGCCTCCAAGAAGCCGGCCATTTGTCAGATCACAAGCAAATGTTCCGCATGCTAGCAAGACTTGGCAGCCGTAAGCACAAAACACGCATGCAGTCCAAGCCATTACCCATGCTACGAACCCAACAAGGTGACATGGTCACATCCTATGCTCAGCAGCAAATGCTATGGCTGAACCAATTTGCCAAGATTGAAGCAGGGGTCAGGGTCACCTGGGAGTCGCTTCGAGACGCAGATGCCACCATGATCTGCCCCTGGACATCCAGGAGGCGGCCGCCTTTCCAACAGAGTGGGACTTGCAAGCCGCTGTGGCCAAGATGAAAAGGGGCAAGGCACCTGGACCCAACGGAATCACGCCTTGTCTTCTCAAGGCCGGGGGCAGCACCTTCTCAAAGCACTTTGCCGCCCTTACCACTAAGGTCGTGGCACATGGGAAAGAACCCTCCTTGGAAGGGGGGCAAACTGGTGCCACTGTACAAAGGGCGTGACTCCACAGCGGACCCAGCCGCTTACAGAGCCATTTACATCTCTGACCACACGTCCAAGCTCTACCACCGAATGTTGCGCAGTCAATTGGAACGGCCCTGGACAGCAAGCATGGATTTGTTGCAAGTAGGTGGCAGGAAATCAATGGGCACTGATGTTGCACATCACATGGTGGAAGCCCATCAGTACTGGTGTAGAAAGAAAAAACTGCCGTCAGCAGTAGTCTTTTTTGACCTGAGATCGGCCTTTTACTCGGTGCTACGGCAAGCATTATTGTCCGACTCGCTTGACCCTCAGCCAGTTGCATCAGCCCTGCGTAGTTGGGGCATCCCCATTCAGCTGATTGACATGTGGCTGCAGCAGGCCAGCTCCGACCACGCCATCATGAATGCCTCAGCCCATACCGAGAAACTGATTCAAGACTGCATGCACAATACCTTCTTCACTGTGGAGGGGGTCCCAGGGGTGTGTCACACCACGCGGGGGACCAGACCTGGTGACCCGCTGGGAGACCTCCTATTTAACCTGATCATGCGTTTGGTCCTGCATGACATGCATGCCAAAGTCCAGCAAGGCTCAAAGGCCACTTGGCTTGGAGCGCCCACACATTGCAGCTCCTTTGCAGATGCTGATGAGGTCCCAAGTCACGCCTATTTTGACGTGTCCTTTGTGGACGATGTGGCCGTAGCAATCCATGCGGAAACCTTGCCAGAAGTCGAGGGCCTAATCAAGCTTGTAGTGGAATCCTTCCATGCAGCCGCCAGGGCGCGAGGTTTAGAAGTGAACTTCAGCCAAGGCAAAACAGAAGTTCTCTGGGATATTCTGGGGAAAGGGTCCAAAGCCTTGAAAGAGCGCCTGCATGACTCTGGCCAATGGCTCTCTTGGCAGCAAGAGGAAGACACTTTTCACCTCCGAGTGTCCCATTCCTACAAACATCTTGGGTCCTGGATGCAGACGGGAGGTTACCACCAAAGGGAAATTGCCCAGCGTGCCTCCCTTGCCATGCAAAGCTGGGGCTGCCTTGCACGCTCCTTCTATCACAAGCGACATGTTGGTCTCAACGCCAAAACCACCGCCTTCCAGTCCCTCAGTATGTCCAGGATGATGTACAATGCTCATACATGGGTAGGGGTCACCGATGACCTCCTTGCCACATGGCAACAAAAACTCAGGAAACCATTGGGTTTGATGACCAAGCCCCTGCTTAAAGGGATAGCCCCAGTCAAGGTTGACACCATCGACCTGTTTGCCCTCGCCCAGATCCTGCCGCCCACGGATCAACTGCATGTGGCCAGGCTCAGATACCTCAAACGACTGTTGAAGTACTGCCCGCAAACCTTATGGAACCTGCTATACCAGACAGGTGCATGGCCCAATAATTGGCTGGACCTTTGCAAGTCTTCCTTTGCCTGGTTTTTGCAATTTTACCAGGTTCCTGGTGCCCCAACAGACACCGCAGACATCACAGCGTGGATCACTCATGTGGCGCTGGACGGTAGCTGGAACGGGCGGCTCAAGAAAGCAGCCAGGGGTTGCCTGAGCTTCCGACAAGCCAATGCAGAGGAGCACATCTGGCTAAAGGCCTTCCAAGCCAGGTTTGTTGATGCGGGAGGCACACTGCCTCAGGTACAAGCCACTCAGAACGAAACCTGGGTTTGTGACCAATGTCAAAAAGCATTCCCCTCCAAGCGGGCCTTGGCGACACATGCTGGTCGCGCGCATGGGTACAGGCGCCTGGTCAAATTTTATGCCATTGACCAGACTTGCAACGCCTGTGCAAAGACCTACGCCACACGCAAGCGGCTTATCGAGCACCTAAGGGATGCAACGGAATGCCTGCAGACCCTGCAAGCCTGCTTCCCACCCTTATCCGATGAGCAGGTGGTAGCTTTTGACACTGCCGATCACGAAACTACCCTTGCACTGCGGGCACAAGGTTGGGGCGCCGCGAAAGCTCTGGCACCGGCGCGCAAAATCCTGGGCCCGTGCTTGCCCCCAGCTGGAGCGCCAGAAGCTGCACAGATGTACCGCAAGTGGTGCCTGCGTAATCCGGTTGCTGTCTCTGGCTACGAGCAGTTGCAAGGGCATGCCGTTGCAAAACATGAGACTCCTGAACCCAGAGTCATCCTTTTTGAGGATGACCTCCCAGCCTTTCTCTACCAGTCAGCGGCGGGTATGAACCAAGGTGATGGCAGATTCTCGCTGTATGGGCTGGCGAGAGAGACAGCCCGATTGCACATCCGCACCCAAGTCTTCGTGCATTTCTTCTCAGGATATCGCCGAAGGGGTGACCTCCATGATCTGATAGAGCATCTCACCTTTCCCCAGGGCCACCAACTGTTTGTACTTTCAGTGGACATGTGCCTACAAAGAGAAAGAGGGGACCTGGCCTCCTCATCCTCACTGGCATGGTGGATGGACCGCATAAAATCCGGACAAGTGTGCGGCGCCGGGGGGGGGCCCCCATGTGAATCCTTTTCAGCTGCGAGACTCCTGCAGGGGGGCCCCCCTCCAGTGCGGTCAGGTACATGGCCGAACGGGATTCCCAACATTCCGTTGAAAGCATGGAGACAGGTGCTCATAGGGTCCAGGCTGATGAGGTTCATCATTGATGTGGTGCTGGTCTTAGCCATGACCGGAGGGTGCGCTTTCATCGAGCATCCCCAGTACCCAACGTGGGCGAAAGAGCTTGACCCGTCCAGCGTTTGGACCCATGCAGCCATGCGTCTCCTCCGTACGCTGGCAGCCATCGGCGTCACCAGCTTTGATCAGTGCATCTTTGGCTGTCGGGCCAAAAAACCAACCACAATTCTCCACTTGCGCCTACCGCACTTGAGGCACAAAATCCTGACCACAGGGTGCATGGGACCCTGCTGTCACGGAGCCTCGGCTCACGAGGCCTTAGCAGGTCAAGAACAAGATGGTGCTTTCAAGACGGCTAGGGGCAAAGTATACCCCCTGGGCCTAAACCGGGCCATTGCACAGGCGGTAGCAGATTTTGTCCAGCGAACTTTCGAAGTGTCGCCGGCTCAGCAGCTTCCCGCTGAGTTCGAGGACCTGGTTGCGAATGATTTTGTTGAGGAAGATGTTGTCCAGCCGGATTATTATGGCTGACCCTTCCTCTGTACAGAGTAGCTCCAGGCCAAAGTGCAAGACCGAGCAAGGACTCCCTTGCAGCACATGGAAATGAAAATAATCCTCCCCATTGACTTAATATTTTTTTAGATGGTTGAAACCACCAACCAGGTTTCATGTTTGGAAAGGTTTCCATCTTCCTGTCTCCATGAGGTTATGGTGCAAGACGGGCGGCCGAGGGCAGAGTCGGATTCAGACCACGACAGGTGCCAGAATGTGCCAGCATTTTGCAGCTCATCCCTGCTTGATGCTTACGAGAACATACCCTCTGGTAAACTAACGTAGCTATGGAAAATCACCATGTTTAATTGGTAAACCCACTATAAATGGCCATTTTCAATAGCTATGTTAGTTTACCAGAGGGTAACAATTGAACATGGTGAACCAATCATCAAACATGTGGACTTTAACATTCACCAGCAGGAACCCTTAAAAATTACAGCATTCTGAAATATTTCCCATATGTATTCGCACAAAGAATGCACTAAATACATATAAATTATAAATACTTGATGTTATTATTTAGTGGTTTGGAATATATTGTAATATACCATATTTTTAACTTTAAACAATTGTGGTATTTCCCAATATATTCATTCCAGAATGCTCCAGTACATTCCCACTAAATGTCCAATTATATTCCCAATTATCTCCCATGAAAATCCCAAATATTGTGTAATTGGGAAATAATATCATGGGATAATTACTATAATTACAATTATTGCATTCCCACTATTTTCCCAATTATAATGATAATATCCCAATTATATTCCCATTTGTTGTGCCTGAAATCGCCATATCTTTCTCCAGACTCCATGGTTTTCGCAGGTCAGACGCCGAGGATGAAGACAAGGCCTACGTCACGGTTTCCCGTGCCGAGCTAATGCGCGGCCACAGGCCGGGCGAGCCTCCGACCCACTGGAAAATGGAGATTTGAATGGGAATATCATGGGAAAAATATTGGATTCAAAAAATTTAACCTTTTAGAAATGGTGGTTTGGAACATGAATTTTATTTTTCCATATATTGGGAATTTCATAATCCCAGCTGACTTTCATATTTTTCAGAGGAGTAGGTATACCACCAACCAGTTTTAGAAATGGTGGTTTACTTGGACTTATCTGGACTTTGAATGGGGAATGGGGTATACGGGAAAATCATCAGACATGGCTGGGAAATCTCTGAACTATAAATGCAGTTAAAAGAAGGCTCGGCTTTAATGGAAAACCCATTATAAATGATGAATGCGTTTTTCCATTGCGATGTTTGATTACCGGATAGTGAATGGAGGTTTAATGGAACTTAATGGGGATTGAATGGGGGACCAGCCATTTTTATGGCATATTTGATGCAAACAATAATGGAGTTGGTCTGCGACTTAAATGGGAAAAGGATGATTTGTAGAACAAGCTGAATGAGGTACCAAATGTTCAGACCCATTCAAAATGGAGGTTTTATGATAATTCCATGCGGAGAATCTCAAGAATATCATCTAACATGTGGTAAACTAGCTTTTGGCATGGGAAATGGATGACCATCCACCATTTAGTTCGATGATCACGAAAGCTAGCTTGCTAGCTGGAGTTGGATTTGCTTCAGCAATGAATTGGGGACAGACTTGACGCAGCTATAAATGTCCTGCTGGGAACCGCTGGGTTTCATCTGTGATCACGCGTTTGCATGCTCACGCACACGCACTACATACATACATACATTACATACATTACATACATTACATACATTACATACATTACATACATTACATACATTACATACATTACATGCATTACATACATTACATACCTTACATACCTTACATACCTTACATACCTTACATACCTTACATACCTTACATACCTTACATACCTTACATACATTACATACATTACATACATTACATACATTACATACATTACATACATTACATACATTACATGCATTACATACATTACATACATTACATACATTACTTACATTACATACATTACATACATTACATACATTACATACATTACATACATTACAATGCATAACATTGCCTTACATTGCATTACATTGCATTACATTGCATTACATTGCATTACATTGCATGACATTTCATACATTACATACATACATGCATGCATGCATGCATGCATACACACGTACGTACATCCATGCATATGTATAATGTATAACATACAGGTTGATATTCACCGTGAGTGTTATGAATGTGATGCAATGTAAGGCAATACACGTTAACGTAATGTAACGCAATGACATCTAATCTAACGTAGTGGGATCTAAACTAATGCAATGTAATGTATATAGCCAAATCATGCCCAAACTAAAGTAACGTAACCTAGTGTAATGTAATCGACCCTGCTGTAATGTAGTGTTATTTTGCTGTAATTTAATCTATTGTAATGCGATGCAATGATGTAATGCAATGTACTGCAATGTAGTGTAATGCAATGTAGTGTAACGCAACGTAACCTAACGTAATGTAATGTAACCAAATGTAACATAATGTAATGTAACGTAATTTAATGTAAGGTAATGTAATGTAACGTAACGTAATGTTAGGATATGTAGTGGCAGAACAACCATTTGGAGTCTTGGATTTCATTTTCCCAAGATGTCTGCATGAAACATGACCCTGTCTCGGCGAGGAATGCAAGATGCGCATCAAGCATTCCTTGCTCGATGGATGCATGCACTTACTAAGTTGCCAGATTCTAAGACTGTTTTTTTTGGTATATTGAATGTATATATATATATCTATCTATCTTAACCTAATCTAATCTAATCTAAACCAATCCAATCCAATCTAATCTAATCTAATCTTATCTAATCTTATCTATCTATCTATCTATCTGTCTATCTATCTATCTATCCATCCATCCATCTATCTATCTATCTTTCTATCTATCTATCCATCCATCTATCTATCTATCTAACTATCTATCTATCTATCTATCTATCTGTATTTTATTTATTTAAAAAAAGCAATATTTATTGTAGAGATTGAAACTACTAATGATCTCCCCACCTAAAGCGCTAGACGGGCGTCTCCTGCAGTTATTCACGGAAGTTTCCCATGGAGAAATGAGACATCCTCTGACAGGTGATTTGGAGATGCAATATCTACAGAAAAACTTTTCTCTGATACGTCCCTTCGCCTTGCTAATTTCTAATCACCATAGATTGGTTTTATCATGTTCTATACAGCATATGGGATGAGGAATATTAAGCATACGTGAAATGTTGAACAATGCCATTACATGTCCGATTTGATCAATCCATCCTCTCAGAGTCGTTCAACATCAGATCGCACATCATTCATCGAAAAACGGTCAATAGAAAAACAACGTGTTTTGATACGTATCTCCCCAAAAGACCGGCTTGGGGACGTATAAATTTTTGCTTCGCTCATTGATCGTGATTAACCGAAGTTTTATAAACATATGGGGACGTAGTGGGTTTTGTTTCATACATAGGCTCAGTAATTTTCCGATCCCCGATTGTCATCACTCCAACACATCATCAAGCCTGCTTTCGTTAAGGTATACGTTCCAAAAAGAAAACTTCGGAGATATATCACGTTTTATTCCTTTCGAGGCATATCAATGTGTTTCAAATTAAATGGGTAAAACCTATTAATTCACATGCCAACGGTGAACAGAAAAAACAACTCTGATATGTCCCCAAGAGAATGCTTCGGGGACATATCATTTTTTTTTCGTTTATCTAATTTTGAACAACCATAGACATATGTATACATATATATATAATTATATATATATCTCTTCACAGACAGAACAAGGAAAGAAAGGCCGAGGGAAAGAGGTTCAATCAGATGATTGCAAAGTGGCTCAACCGAAGCGTTCGGGTGGGGCACTTTGCATTTGGCAAGTAGTTAGAGTACTAATTAGAAACGCAATGTCGACGCTGGTATGCTAGGATGTCAGGGGGAGGGTTGTGGAATGATGATGGCGCATGCGAGCTAGAATGAATATTATGATATGCTGCTGTTTAGAGTGTCAGCAACATCGAATGGTTCATTTTTCAATTAAAACATATGACACTCAAAAGGTCGCGCAACATACATCTCTCCTTGCCCAACTAGCAGCTAGCCACCAAAAATACCTGTTGATTGCTTGATGCAAACTGATGTATTGGGGATTACGAGAAGCATGGAGAAACCACAATTAACGGGATGCTCACTGTAACCTATGTTTCATGGCGCATGTTGATGAAATAGAACGTGATACGGCACCCTTAATGCCATAGCGTTTACCATTTGGGAATTATATTTGCAAACCCACGTCTGATATGTGAATCCGGGATGGTTTAACGTTGGGGCTCAAGATTTTTTCCAAGATGTTGAAACATGGGGGATCAGTGAAATGGACGGTTGAATCGGTTGAATATGATGAAATACGACTGACCAAGGTATCAAGAATTAAGATATTGGAGACAAGATAGATATGATGAAACACTACTAACAAAATCCGACAAACATATCAAAGAATTGAAATATTCGAGACCAAATAAGATAGGAAAAATGAAGTAAATCTGGATTACTGTAATTGGGATGATTGATGGGACTATACTTCTGAAGGATGTAGGACTACCAATGCATTTAAACAATAACGAACAGCGGGCAGTGGTCGACCACCTCTGGCCGAACTTCACTGAAAGACTACTGGAAGGGAGACCATCAAGAATGGGTACATATTTCAGCTGGGGAATTTGTATATCATGTGATCAATCACGAAGTGAGATGTTCGCATTGTTTGAACGATTTACATGGCTACATGCAAAGATTTATGTGTACATGTTGTTTTCGCATACCAGTGTTTGCAATCAGTTACCTGTGTGCAATGCTTTTAATGGTGTTGTCCTTATTGCATTCCAAATTTGAAAATGAATAACTGTTTATTATGATTATATACATGTAGAAGATATGTCTATGTGTATGTACACTGACATTTGTGTTTGCACATACTTGCACAGAGGCAATCATTATGTAACAAGTATACGGCTGTATGTGTATGTGCATCTCATGCACAAATTCGACAAATCTGAAACCAAAAACCTCGACTTTTCCAGGCCTGTAGTGGTTTCAGAGGTGCCAGTTTATGTGGCTTGGCAGCGAAACCGAATTTGGGTCCCTGCGGCTGCACCACTCTGCGGATTTGACATGATCGGGTTTGAAGAATTGAACATGGGCACATGGGCACGTCTAAAACAGGTAGATGCTGTGACGATTTTCAGTCTGAGTGGTTTTGGCCCAACTTTTTCCTATGGAAATTGGCTTGGAAATGACACCTTTCAGAGTAAACCTTGGTTTAATTAGCTAGGTTTTTATTGTCCACTCGGACTTGGTTTTAGCCAATGTGGAATATGTCATCCATTTCTTTTTGCCATGCCAAAAATGGAAGTTTCAGATTTTTTGCTTTTTTACACCTTGCCCCTGGGGATGGCTGCATCAACTATCAATTGTTTGTTGTTTTGCCTCAAAGTTTTTCATTTCGTGGGATATTTAGGAACAGTAATCCCATCGAATGTGTAGAATAGAATAGAACAGAATCAAATAGAAATGAAATAGGAACAAAATAGAATAGACTAGAATATAATATATAATATATATACATATGCATATAGTTGCATATACATATATATATATACATATGTAATGCACAAGTGCATGTACACTCACACTGTTATATGCATGACCTTTGCTATGGATGGGTAGGCACCAGCACTTCCACGATTCACAGGTGGCCCTTGAAGACCGGGACGGGCGTCGCTTTGAGGACAAGGGCAGCTGTCAATATGTGCCCTGACGACTTCAAGGGGCCACTATGGTGCCGAGAGGGAAACGTGTTTTTACCCCTCACATCCATTGACTTTTTTGAGAATTGGTGTGAAGAATGACAGATGATAAGTTCGTCTCCTTTTCCAGGGTGGGTAGTGAAGTGAAATGAAAGCAGTGTTTCAGACAAGCTTCAGATGGTCTTTCCCTTTGATTGGCACCAAAGTCGATGTAATATTTTATTATATATAGGATCACAATTTCATCAAAGACTTGAGGAGACATGAGGTCGTACACGCAGTAACTGACGGGTGGTTTCGAGCGTGGTTTCGGGAAATGTCTACTTTCATTCCTACATGGGGATGGGTCAAAAGCTATTGATATCACATTGGGAATAATCATCCAGAAACCAGCTATGACTTTGGGTGCCATCCGTGTATTCCGTGTACCAGGGTTTTGACCCATAACCATGTGGGATAATGTTGAGCTGAGCCGCAGCCAATGACTGACCTGATCGCTGATTTTTTTGTTTGTGACCCGCATACGTTGGCAGACTCTCTCACATTCTATAGCTAGTAGTTCATGATAGTTTTTGTACGTATATAAGTGTGTATATGTATATCATGTACATTCAGTACGTGTATAACCGTGCATATATATATATATATTATACATATATATATATGTTTATGTTTATTATGTATATATATATATATGTTTATATTTATTATATATATACACATATTTCTGTGTGTGTGAGTGTGTGTGTGTGTGTTTAGATGTGTGTAATTACTGTATAGATATGTACCAACAAACACATATGCAATGAAAAGACACATCATTTTTTTTCATCAGCACTGCCGCACTGATTTCGGCGACCCCAAGGTCAAATATCGGTGGATGCGGGGGCCTGTCATCGAGCCCTGCTTCTTCCATCCCCACAAGATGTGCCGCGGTGGGTTGTGGTGGATGGTAACTTCTGCATAGACTTGGTTGATCTTGGTTGGTTAAGGGGTAATTAGAGCTTAACCAACCAAGTCTATTACTACTCCATTTAAGGGGCAACTTCTCCATTAAATGGAGGAGTGTCACATGCAGCACATCACACTAAGAAATACGATATCCAAGGCTGGGATTGTGAGCAGATGGATGCACCGCATGGACCCACGGGGACGACACCTCTGATACCTCATTCAGGGCATGCCCAAAAGAGTATGGCAGTGAAGGGACAGGCCCCGAGCTATCATGGCAAGATGTGCAAATGGGCCAAAATATATGAACAAATTTCATATATATATATATATATACACATAATTTTATACATAATGTGTATGTATATAAATAAATATATATATGTGTGTGTGTCTTTTTATTTAGTATAAACATATATGTCAACATTGAAGACCCACAGCCGCCGGTTGTTTTGTTCATGCGGCCGATAATTTCATGTTTTGTTTGGCATATGCTATATGCTGCCCATTTCTCGACCAGGAGCCACGCGGAACATATTTTTTGGCATTCAGCACCCTATAGACAGAATGCAGTCAATGCACCCTTCTTCCTATCTGCATGCCGGAACGTATACATGTGGTTTTGAACGTGTTGTAACTGTTATAACCCAAAGGATAATATAAGGTAACCCTTGTATACATGGGAATGTGTCATTTACAAACGTTACTATATGGCTCTTGCCCACTTACAAAGTGGGATGCATTCTCCACTGGAACTCCAAATGGTATGTACCTAAAATTTTTAAAAGGTGGTCCCAATAGATAAGTTTGTCCGCAACCGCCTGTAACTGCAGACATACGTACCTTAAACCCAACTGTTATTGCAGTTGTTTGCACCAACGTATCCTTCACAACAAGTGGTGCAACACAACAACTTGCCCCACCTTGGACGGTGGCACTACCGAGGTCCCAAATCAAAGATGTGGCCAAAACCTACAACCACTATTGCTCACGCGCACCCTGGCGATGTGACTATGATCATCCCAGTACCTGGTGACCCTGTTTGAAAAGGTAGCCATAGCAAGTGCGGTTGCACTTGGGCCGTTAAAAATCTAAAGAAAACATTCACCAGTTCGCAACTTCCGACCCCTCGAGTGCCATTTTGAGCACTTAGATCATCACTCCCCCCTACCAAGATTGGAGCCGTGATTTGCGGGTGGTTCCAGGTGAGGTCCCTGACCTTTTCGGCAGCGCTAAGGAGTGTTTCCTTAGGGGCTGGCATCATTTGGGCCAACATCAGTGGGGCAAGAAGCCAGAGACCGATGGCTATGAGGACGCTGATGGGCTGGCAGCTCTATTGCTGCATGTTGAATGAACATGTTCACCGCAAAAAGACACTTTTGGGAACCCAAAACAAGGCTTTGGATCATTTGCGAGATATTTAAACAGCATAATAAATATAATATATATATATATATAATGTTAGAAAGATAGTTACCGTATGCAAGACCGTATGCCGCTTTTGGGTGCCCCTGTTTTTACCAAGAGGGCTCTTCAGATGTTTCAATGCATGCTTTTGCTACAATGGCAAGACCGGATTCACAGTGATCCTAACTTGACATTATTCTTGGCAAATTAATTCACGACCTCGTTGTTCTCCCTCACTGGACTAATGGTTATCCTATAGGATTCGAATCATTCCAATAGCTGGCCTTAATTCAGGTCAGTGAAATAGTCTAATTCATATATTCTAATTTATCATTATATGAATCACTATTCTTGCTGGTTGTATCCCAATAAATCCCATGAAATTTACCCCGATGAATAGATGGTTCAACCCCAGCTTTTCGTCCCAGGAGATGTTGGGAGAATGGACGCAGGTGGCCTCCACCCGGCAGTACTGCCCCTCCCAGAATGACATCAACAGACCCTTGCGCATGGCTCCCTGGCATAGTTGGCTGGTTTAACCATGTTTAACATGGAAAAGTACAGAAAAGTACCGGGTAGCCGTGGCCCCAACAAAAAGATCAATGGTAGCGTTGGTTTAGGTGGCTTAGTTTCACCCACTGTTTGTAGATGTATATCCACGTTTCCCATGGTTATCCCGTGGTTCTCCCGTTCAATCTATTACTTCTGTTTCCACAGAGAAATGCGCCAGCATAACTGGGTTGTAACAATTGCAAAAGACCCGTGCTTAGACAACTAATGTACTTGATTTGTTCCAATCATTGACATTTTTTTGTGATTTTGGCGGCAAATGGTGGAGCATTTGGAATGGTGCCTGATGTTTCCTGCGATTTTTCCAGATGAAACGTGTGAATCCACAAACAAACAACGCCCCGCCGAGGACATCATTCCATTGACCAAGGATGGACGCGAGTGCGTGGCTAGGACGTGGATATGGTTTTGTTGACACAATGAGCATCCACTTCTGATGGCTACTTTGGTACTTGAATTGTTCTGTATGTTCATTATCTAGCCAGAAAAAAAGTTACCGTACTTGCTTGCCATGGTATCTAAGAATTACTACGTAATGTTGGTACGTATTCCATACATAGAGAATCTGGGAATGGTGCGTGTGTGTGGGATCATTTTGGTAGCCAAGGCCTTCAGACAATGAAACAATTCCTTTCCAACAATACGGAGGAAATTCATTCCAATGGTCTGACTGGGTTGAAACCTTTAGTTTGCAGTGCGTTTTCCTGAGGCGGGGGCCATTTGCAAATTCACATAGCTTTTGTTTTTGCAAAAGATATCTCTATACTATATTTAAATATAAGTACGTATTATATTATATAATAATAATGATAATATAATAATAATTTATAATAATACTAATTTTTATGTTTATCTATTATTATTATTATATATGTTAATTATATACGTATTCGTATTTATTCACATTGAAACACATCCCATAATATCCATGCATGGTATATTACTGTATAGTGGTGTTTTCTTCGCACCGCATCAACCGTCGGCGGCATCGAGGTGAATGGCATGATGTCGATCACCACTGGCACAGTGATTCCCACGCCAAAGGAAGCACGGATGCGGCAGATGATCAGCAGCTTTGCCCCACTTTTTTTTAGGCCTGTTGGATGTGCATCCCAGGCATAGAAATCCATGATTAGTGGTTTATAATGGTTTAGAATCTTGTTGGATATGCAAGTGGTTTATGGTTTAGAATCCATGATTTTTCAAGAAATCTTCTAAACGATTATTGCATGGCTCTGGTGGTTTGGAATGTCCATGAGCTTTTCAGGGAATGACTTTCTGAGGGCAACCCCAGGAATCCAACCAATGCATCAGGATTGCTTGGACCCAGCTGGGAAAGCAATTGGTTTTGATAGGTTCATGGCTATACTTGCCCGTTTATGTGTAAATTTTCAGAACTACTCTGCGCAGCTATGTTTTTTCTTCCACTAATCTATGGCCACCCATCGTTGTGTACTGAATCTCTCCATGTTTGCTGGTAATTTTGCTTGTGCCTGCCCCTTTTGATATTGTCACATTCTGGTGGTATGTGACTCTAAGACTAGCCCAATTTTGCTGGTTTTGGCCAAATTCTCTTGGTCATAGCCTCATGAGTCTTGGTTGTGCACTGATCTCTTTGTTTTATGCTGGTCATGAAAACCACAATTTTTGATAATTGAAGCATGTATTTTTCCCCCATGATTGGTTCTTACCCATTCATTGGAGGTGCCCCCCGCTTTTATGTGTGTTGGCTTCTAGCCATGGATCAACTGGTTCGATATGTCTACAAAAGGCCCGGTTGGTGCACAAGCGGTACCCGAGGTAATGGTGGCCAGTTCAATGCAGAATGGCTCAGCAAACAGTTCAAGGCTGGGACATTTGGCTGTCAGCGGCTCCCTGCGGGTTGGAAGATTCGGTTCCACTGAGATTTGGTGATTTTCAGAGCCATGAAATTACTGAAGGGTATGTTTGCATGGCATAATCTATATGATAGCTCAAGATATCCTGTGGCAAAGCAGAAGATATCCTGTGGCAAAGCAGCGCAACAGGGGATTATTTTATAGAACGTACAGACATGGTAGTTGATCCAACAAAATAATTTGGATTAGGATCTACAAAGTCTGGCCAGTTATTTTAGTTTGTTGTTTTTGTTACCCATCGAACTGGATTGATCATGATTGATCTCTCTATATATAAATATACTATGTAAAGTATATGTGTATAATGTCCAATAATCGCATGGATATATATATATATATAATTATTATTATTACAGTAAATATATTTGCAGTATATATATATATATATAGCATAATTCCAAGGGGGTTTCTTGGCTACACCCAAACCACCTACCCGGCCCCACACTGATCGTGATCATGGTGCAGAAATCCAGGTGACACCTCCCTCAAAGTACATCATTTCCGAACGGGAACACGGTGAAATCATGGTGGGTTTCCATGGCTTTTGTATTACTGGAAGGTAAATATATGATCTGTTTGGTGGTTTGGAACATGTGTTATTTTCCATATATTGGGAATGTCATCATCCCAACTGACGAATTCATATTTTTCAGAGGGGTAGGTATACCACCAACCAGTGATAATCTAATAGTTATCCCATGATCTTCCAGTAAATTTGCGTAAAGTGTCCCCATGACATTCCCATTACGGGATATACCATGAAGCCTTCCCCAGCTGTATGTTTGTGAGGTCATGAACTGGAACATTTTGGCTGACCTCTATGCCACCGAAAATGTCGACTCGATGCAGGGTGGTGCACATTGCCATGGAAAAAAATGGACAAGAAGATATGAAAAAAGAGTGAAAAGTGTTTTTTTAGCATGTGTTCTTTGTTGTTCTTTTTCGTTTTATTGATTTTTCCCCACATCTTTGTGTGGGGTTCTTGTTTTTGATTCTGTATCCCGGGCTTCTCCTCCTCCTCCTCCCGCCGCCTCCGTAACAAAACACACACAAACACACAAACTTAACATACAATAATTTCACACACACAAACTTAACACACACAAACTTAACATACAATAATTTCACACACACAAACTTAACACACACAAACTTAACAGACAATAACTTCACACACACAAACTTAACACACACACAAACTTCACACACACAAACTTAACATACAATAATTTCACACACACAAACTTCACACACACAAACTTAACAGACAATAACTTCACACACACAAACTTAACATACAATAATTTCACACACACAAACTTAACATACACAAACTTAACACACACAAAGTTAACAGACAATAACTTCACACAGACAAACTTAACACACAGAAACTTAACACACACACAAACTTAACAGACAATAACTTCACACACACAAACTTAACACACAGAAACTTAACACACACAAACTTAACAGACAATAACTTCACACACACAAACTTAACACACACAAACTTCACACACACAAACTTAACATACAATAATTTCACACACACAAACTTAACACACACAAACTTAACAGACGATAAACTTAACACACACAAACTTAACAGACAATCTGTCGTTTTGCGTGGCAGGCGTGGCACAAACTCACATCCACCGTCGTTTTGCGTGGCAGGCGTGGCACTCATGGCACTGGGTGGCGCGCTTGGACTGGCTTGGGCGCCTGTGACGCCGCGGCACTTTGCGTGGCAGGCGTGGCACAACCTGACATGCACTTTGCGTGGCAGGCGTGGCACAACCTGACATCCACCTTCGTTTCACGTGGCACGCGTGGCACAAACTCACATCTACCTTCGTTTCACGTGGCAGGCGTGGCACTCATGGCACTGGGTGGCGCGCTTGGACTGGCTTGGGCGCCTGTGACGCCGCGGCACTTTGCGTGGCAGGCGTGGCATGGCACAAACTCACATCTACCTTCGTTTCACGTGGCAGGCGTGGCACACACCTCACATCCACCTTCGTTTCACGTGGCAGGCGTGGCACAACCTCACATCCACCGTCGTTTTGCGTGGCAGGCGTGGCACTCATGGCACTGGGTGGCGCGCTTGGACTGGCTTGGGCGCCTGTGACGCCGCGGCACTTTGCGTGGCAGGCGTGGCACAAACTCACACCCACCTTCGTTTCACGTGGCAGGCGTGGCACAAACTCACATCTACCTTCGTTTCACGTGGCAGGCGTGGCACTCATGGCACTGGGTTGGCAGGCGTGGCACAACCTGACATCCACCTTCGTTTCACGTGGCAGGCGTGGCACAACCTGACATCCACCTTCGTTTCACGTGGCAGGCGTGGCACTCATGGCACTGGGTGGCGCGCTTGGACTGGCTTCCATTGGGCGCCTGTGACGCCGCGGCGCTTTGCGTGGCAGGCGTGGCACAAACTCACACCTACTCTCGTTTTGCGTGGCAGGCGTGGCACAAACTCACATCCACCGTCGTTTTGCGTGGCAGGCGTGGCACTCATGGCACTGGGTGGCGCGCTTGGACTGGCTTGGGCGCCTGTGACGCCGCGGCACTTTGCGTGGCAGGCGTGGCACAAACTCACATCTACTGTCGGTTTGCGTGGCAGGCGTGGCACAAACTCACATCTACCGTCGTTTTGCGTGGCAGGCGTGGCACTCATGGCACTGGGTGGCGCGCTTGGACTGGCTTGGGCGCCTGTGACGCCGCGGCACTTTGCGTGGCAGGCGTGGCACAAACTCACACCCACCTTCGTTTCACGTGGCAGGCGTGGCACAAACTCACATCTACCGTCGTTTTGCGTGGCAGGCGTGGCACTCATGGCACTGGGTGGCGCGCTTGGACTGGCTTGCCGCCTGTGACGCCGCGGCACTTTGCGTGGCAGGCGTGGCACAACCTGACATCCACCTTCGTTTCACGTGGCAGGCGTGGCACAAACTCACATCTACCTTCGTTTCACGTGGCAGGCGTGGCACTCACGGCACTGGGTGGCGCGCTTGGACTGGCTTGGGCGCCTGTGACGCCGCGGCACTTTGCGTGGCAGGCGTGGCACAAACTCACATCTACTGTCGGTTTGCGTGGCAGGCGTGGCACAAACTCACATCTACCGTCGTTTTGCGTGGCAGGCGTGGCACTCATGGCATTGGGTGGCGCGCTTGGACGGGCTTGGGCGCCTGTGACGCCGCGGCACTTTGCGTGGCAGGCGTGGCACAAACTCACACCTACTGTCGTTTCACGTGGCAGGCGTGGCACAAACTCACATCTACTGTCGTTTTGCGTGGCAGGCGTGGGACAGATGGCACTGGGTGGCGCGCTTGGACTGGCTTGGGCGCCCGTGACGCCGCGGCACTTTGCGTGGCAGGCGTGGCACAAACTCACATCTACTGTCGGTTTGCGTGGCAGGCGTGGCACAAACTCACATCCACCGTCGTTTTGCGTGGCAGGCGTGGCACTCATGGCACTGGGCAAGTGAAATTAGTCATTTGCATGCAAAGATGCGGTCCTTGCTCGTGGTCGAGAGGCAGGGCTCAACTGCGCTTCAGCAACGCTGTGCAGCGCAGACATGACAGATTCTGTTTCTTGCATGCAGACTTTCATCATGTTGTTCTTGTCGTTCTGTTTTGGTCGCTTTGGCCCAACTAGAAGTTGCAGACAACGGCTCTAGCACGCATACCACTACAACACAACTACAACTAGTCAGCAAGGTAAAGATGCGGTCATAGGATCATCTCTTGTTGCACAATTCCACAAGTCGTCAGTGAAGTTATTGCGGACAACATCTCTAGCATGCATACGACTCAACCACAACTACAACGAGTCAGTCAAGTGAAATTGGTCATTTGCATGCATTCGAGGCGGTCCTTCCGGCATGTTTCTTCTTAGCATCATCTCGTGTTGCACAATTCCACAAGGCGTCAGTGAAGTTTTTGCGGACAACATCTCTAGCATGCATACGACTCAACCACAACTACAACGAGTCAGTCAAGTGAAATGTGTTATTTGCATGCAAAGAGGCGGTCCTTCCGGCATGTTTCGTCTTTCCGCGTGCGTCGGCATGTTTGATTTTGGCATGTTTAAGCGCTTTCTTCTGTCGGCCTGCTACGTGCTTCCTAAAGTTTGATTTTGGCATGTTTAAGTTTGGTCCTTTGCATGCAAAGATGCGGTCCTTCCGGCATGTTTCTTCGTTAACCCCATGCTTCGGCATGTTTGATTTTGGCATGTTTAAGTTTGGTCCTTTGCATGCAAAGATGCGGTCCTTCCGGCATGTTTCTTCTTTCCGCGTGCTTCGGCATGTTTGATTTTGGCATGTTTAAGTTTGGTCATTTGCATGCAAAGATGAGGTCCTTCCGGCATGTTTCTTCTTTCCGCGTGCTTCGGCATGTTTGATTTTGGCATGTTTAAGTATTTTCTTCTGTCGGCCTTCTACGTGCTTCGGCATGTTTGATTTTGGCATGTTTAAGTTTGGTCATTTGCATGCAAAGATGCGGTCCTTCCGGCATGTTTTTTCTTTCCGCGTTCTTCGGCATGTTTGATTTTGGCATGTTTAAGTTTGGTCATTTGCATGCAAAGATGCGGTCCTTCCGGCATGTTTCTTCTTTCCGCGTGCTTCGGCATGTTTGATTTTGGCACGTTTAAGTATTTTCTTCTGTCGGCCTTCTACGTGCTTCGGCATGTTTGATTTTGGCATGAGTCGATGCCAACAACTGCAGGCTGCGCTGTGGATCTCTACCAAAGAACTATTTTATTTTGTGCTTTCGTCATCTTGATCCTTTTTCTGTGCTGCCAGGTGTTGCTTGTCGATGGTGAAGTAATGCGCGCACACACACACACTAAGGCTCATCTAGTGGAAGCTTTAATTGCAAAAACGTAGAAGCAAACAGACATAAACAAAACCCAACACTGAACAAACTCTAAAATCTGAAAACTTCCAAAACAAGCAAAACAAATCTGCAAACATGGAGTCACTTCAAATCTGCAAACATTTGCGGCTGCGCCCGAAAGAGTGCAGAACATTACTTTAGTCAGCAGAAGTCAACTGAGCACACCATCGCTTTGATAACACAGCCTGGTGGAACTCGTAGAAAGCGGAGCAACTTACTCACAAACAACCTACTCACAAACAACTTACATACATACATACCTACCTACCTACCTACCGACCTACATACATACATACATACATACATACATACATACATACATACCTACCATTTTACCTTCTCGATCTTTCACCATCTCCTTTGTCTTTCTTTGCTTCCCTGTCCCCGCTAAAACCATTGAAGCTCATTTTAGGGAGAAGTTGACTTGTGGGGTTATCCGGTCCTTTAATTTAGTTTTTGTTGTTTGGAGATGTTATAGATTTCAGATGTGTTTGGAGATGTTGTAGATTCCAGATGAAGGATTGGCATAACATGCAATGTCGGCACTAATTAATCATGTTTAGCCTATAATTAGACATTTTTATTTGTTGCTAAATGATTGGCCCATAGAATTCTGCATGTTTCCATTTGCACTGGATATCGCCCATTCATGCCGGCATCTATACGATACATGGATTGTATATTTATTTATTATCAGTATTTATCTGCATACCACTGTATGCAGATACTTTGAAAATGAACTACACCATCCGAACCCAGATGCATGGATGGTATGAGGTGTACCCGTACTGCGAGAAGTGGGCATTGTCCTGGAATTGGCGGAAACACCTCATCATCAAGGTGACACGACCTCCGGCTGTGTGCGTTGTGTTGTTTTTGATTGGTTGCCGGATCAGGAGTTGCAATGCCTCACCACAACTCACCTGTCCTAAATAATGTCAACCCCGGATTAATAAACCATGGTTTATTAATTAGGGGGTATTCCCCCAATAGTCATGATTTGATACTTAAATGGTACCTTCCCAATTCAGTGGCCGTTTGGGGTTTATTAATCCAGGGTTGACATTAAACACTTACTTAGGGAATTTTCCGGAATGATCCACTGGCTAACTATATTTTTTTTCATCCCAGCAACCCCCAGCAACCCATCTATTCCTTGCTAATTAAGCACCAGTAAGAACAATATATATATATACACATTAATTGACTAATATTTTTCAGAAGGGTGGCTCAACCACCAACCAGATAGATATATATATATATAGGTTTCCTATCTCTGAAGCTTCTGCCACCGCGATATGGCGATAGTGCCAGGAGTTGAAGTCCATGGCGGCGGACATCATTACGCTGCAAGAGGTGGGTCGGATGGTCGGGTTGGGGGATGGGGCACACGACCGTTGGATCATCGCCGTGGGAAATCCACATGAAAAAAGGCGGTGTTCAGTGGGAAACCTATGGGAGACCCTGGGAAAACACACTATAAATGAAGGTTTCTTATGGCAAAACCGTCGAAGTAAACACTGGATTTTCCAGCACGCCATGTTTGATGGCACCAGAGCATAGGGCAAGAATTCGAAGCTGCCTGAAAATGCATCGTACTTTCGGAGCAGGCATAAGATCTTGAAGAACACGTGGTCTTTCGATTCATCTCCGTTCCATGTCCAATTTATAGGCTGTAGATCCCCATGATGCCCCAAAGAGAAGTTGCTCATGAAGTGCTGCTTAAGATTGAACCCTGGGCCACCTCAAGTTTCAGCACTTTGTGTGAAACTATCAAGATGACACTGCTATTTTGAAATATTGAGTGACCAGAGTGTGGTTTTTGGAGGTATGATGCTGCTGACTATATAGATAGATCAGATGTAATGTAATGTAGATAATGTTGTACAGTAAATCCAAGATATAGGCATAAACGCGCGCACACACATCCATAGTTGTACGTGTATAATATGTTGTCATTGATGTCGTCGTCATCGTCATCATCATTATCATCATCATCATCATAATAATCACTTCTTTATTATTTATCTCTCTATATTTATATATATGCATATTATCACCACTTGATGCTAGTGCTGTTTATATTGTCACATTTTATCAACATTACTATATTGTTTCTCTGGTACGACCGCTATTTTAATTCCCAATATCACACTAATTGTCCCTGCTATTGTCGCTACGCTATTGTCCCTACCGGGAACCCATTGGTATCCTCATTCTCGTCTTCATCATCCTCATCATCATCATAATCATCATCATCTCCATGTTGATTTCCAAGTTGTTTATCACATATATAACACACATATATTACGCATATTTATATATGTGGTAAAAATAGAATCACCATTAGCATGCTATTGGTATTCTCATGTATTATCCCTATTGGTATAGTATAATCACGATCATGGGGTTGATCACCATCATGGTGTTTCTCACAATAATATGTAACCATTGGCATTAAATCATTCAGACCTATTGCCCTCATTGTCCCTAGGGTTTTATCAGCCTCAAAAACATCTTATCGATGGTAATACGTGTATGTATATATATATATTGACATGCACGTCGTAAATAGCTGGGGAGCACTTGATTTGACAAGTCGTGCCTTTTTTTGGTAAAACGCATAGGAATTGCAATGTTTCGGTGGGTTTGGTCTTTGTAACATGTTTTCTTAATAAACCTTGCGATTAGGTGGTGTTTAGTATCAAGAGCAACCTTTTCCATAGCGAGTCAAATTGGATGTGAGTGTTGCGATTAGGTGTTGTTTCTGCTTTTTTTCTTTGTGTGTTCAATGTCTCGGGTCATGTTGTATTTCCTGTGGCCATTTTCACTTTTCACTGTGTCCTCAACGCGGCAGCACTGAAACCCAATAGAGGCCAACATTTCGAAAAACCCTGGAGACATCAACGGTAGAATGCACCAGACGGATGTGTTGCGAACCTTTGATTTTCCCAAGTGGAAACATTACCCTCTGGTAATTTAACATAGCTATTGAAAATGACCATATATAGTGGATTTTCCCATAAAAAAATAGTGATTTTCCATAGCTATGTTAAATTACCAGAGGGTATTCTTATTCATACGCGGCTCCATGGTGTTTGAAGATTTAGGCATGGCTTATGCATGACTTTCTTGAAACAGCGATTCCATGATGATCTACTAGCAAGTTTTCATCCAGGCATGAGTTAGGCATCAGTGTGTCGTTTGACTGTACATGCCCAAGTTTTGTCTTGATGATAGAAATCGTCTAAAGATATCATTGGTTTAATATCCCCAAAATGGTGTATCATAAGGATATAGGTACCCCTGAGGAAATGAAGAAAACAAGGACACATAGTGATATACATGGTAGAAAGATGTCTAATTTATGGCTATCCCCGTTTTTTTGTCGTCTCCTTGGTTTATAATAGAAACGCAATGGGAATGCTATGTACATCACATCCTACATTTTTCATTTTGATCATATTCAAAAAAAATAATATATATATATATATGTATTATATTGGTAATATTCCCATTCTATTCCGATCTTAAATTGCGCATATGTAATATAACCAAATGGAACAAGATTGGATATGATATGTGATAGGAGTGTGTAATTATGATTGGACGCCCCAAACTATAAAACATATTTTGTAATATCTCCCATCATATTCCCTCGGCATATGATTATGCCCATTATATTCTAATCAAATCATTCCCAATTATTTTCCAGTCATTCCCCTTATTTCCCCTTTATATTCCCATTATATTGTAATATTCCCATGTTATTCAATAATATGTATATATATATATACACATATTTAAAATATTTATAGTAGTATTCCCTACTTAATTTCCAACCTTATATTGGTACCCCAACAATTCGATGCTTAATACTAAGCATAAACATAAGCCTGTGGTCCCCCAGGTCTTTCACTTTCACCCATACCCATGTAATATCCCAGTTAGGAGTTGGTTTATAAACCCCATTAACTACGATCTATCTACCATACTCCATGGTTATTGAAGTTATTTGCACCAACATAAATCCGCTATCAGAAATCAGCTTTTAAATCCCATGAAATCCCTTTGTTTAGTGGGGTAAATCACAATTTTCCTATGGTTGTCCTATGGTTTTCCTGTGGTTTTCCTATGGTTTTCCGATGGACATCACCCATCCCCCGGAAGGCCGGCCGTGTTTTTTTGCAGGTGCAAAAGGACGCCTTCGAGGAATGGTTTCGGCCGACGCTGATGGAAGCGGGCTACGAAGGCATCTTCCAACCGCCCCCTCGGCGACCGGTGGTGGGATGGTACCCCAAAAAAAAACTTACTGGTGCGTTTTACGTAGGGAATAGATGGGTTGCTGGGAGTTGCTGGGATGAAAAAAATGATAGTTAGTAATTGTGGATCATTCCCGAAAATTCCCTATTAAGCACCAGCAAGAAAAAGGTCACGGATCCTCCACTGCTTGGTGGTTTGGAACATGAATTTTATGACTTTCCATTCAGTTGGGAATGTCATCATCCCAACTGACGAACTCATATTTTTCAGAGGGGTTGAAACCACCAACCAGTCCATGTTGGGTGGATTTTTAGATGTCACTTCTAGCTTTGTACATGTACATAGAAGTTGGTATCAGGTATGTTTTTTTGGAGGTCAAGATCAGAAATTTTAGCTAGATGTTCGCACAGATAGTGATGTGAGTGGTTTGTGTTTTTGTGTAGGACCCCCAAACTACGTAGGATTCGGATAACCCCCAGTGACTAAGCACTTAGACTTAGACTTAAACAGTCTGGCAACATGATGGCAACATCTACTGTAAGTGGTGATTCTTGTTTGGTAGGCAACGAGGTATCTTGTCGTTCAAATATGTTTCCGCGAGTCTTTCGTTTTGCTTGGATCATTTTTCTTGGTGGAACAGATGCTTGCAGTGGTAATCCCACAACATCCAGTTATTTTCAGGTTTTATTTCAAGTTGATTTGATATTTAGCTTCATGATCATGATTTGGTCAACGTCTGACGTGGGTCCTCCGTATCATCAGATGATCGCACCACTAGTCACCAGAACCGCACGGGTGAGTGCCGAAAGGCCATCGTGTCGTGCTCACATGGCCCTTAGATTTTGACCCGGGCCTTGTTTGTTGATGAATTTGTTTCATTGAAGGTCAACTAAGCATGAAAGTTTGATTGGGATCATCACTTACAGTTATGGCATGTTAAAATAATTACTTATAACTGTTATAAGTACTAACAAAGCCCCATGTATAGAATGCATATTGTCTGGTTGGTGGTTTATTATATGTTGTTATTTTCCATTCAGTTGGGAATGTCATCATCCCAACTGACGAACTCAAGGGGTGGCTCAACCACCAACCAGTAAGGATGAAATTCGATTGGGATCATCACAGTTATGGCCCTATGGCATGTTATGGCCCGAAATACCAGTTATAAGTACTAAGAAAACCCCATATATAGAATGTATAATCCCATTGAAATAACCAGCCATAACTAGTCAATGGCCATAACTGTAAGTTTCTACCTGAGGAAAAAACGCGACCCCATCTTCCATCGCGGCAAGTGTCTCGTAGAGGGAGCGGCTGGAGGTTCCATATTCGTTCCCCAGTTGGATCAGCCATGTTGTTGATGTTGTTCTTGTCGTCTCCTGCGGGCAGGGATGGTGAAAATCAAAAGTTGGCATGTTTTCCTTGTGTGTCTATGTCCATCTAGATTCTTGGAAATTATTTGGGGCACCGTGGGGCATCTTGGGGTCCAGTGTTCTGATTATTTCGATCCCGTTGTGATGTCGGGGTGTCAACCCAGCCAACGACTTAGCTCACACCCATGGGCCATCTAAGTGCACATTGTGCACCAGTGATTTTTTTCTATGGGACCATATAGGTATATACGGCGAAACCGGGCAGGCGAATGATTCGAAGTTCAGGGTGAAATCATCCCTAGCCTTGGATAGTTAGTTTAATCATTTAATCCTGTGTTTTTCTATGTTTTTTTGTTGCTATAAATGGAAACGAACCATATCCGGCATTTTTTTTGTGGAACCAAAGATTGACCATGTTGAATGCCTTCCATTTTGCAGCACCAGGCTTCAATGAATGTCCAGATTTCATTGAGCCAAGTGGCTGAGAACGGGTAGATTTTTCGCGGCAAGGGTGAAGTGGTTTCGGACAACTTATATTCTTTGGTGTACATCCTAACCAGAAATTTGTTTTACAAGAAAGTTGTTTATATGCCATATACATATATATATATATGTGTGTGTGTGACTGTATATGACTGGAGATATTCCCCATACAACTGTGTTGTAAAACGAGACAATTCAGCAAATATATTGTTGATATTTTTTCCTGCACATTGGAACTCCAACACTTTACGCGGTACGCTTGGCTCCCGCTTGGCTCCCAGCATCAGGTACACCACCGAGGGTTGCGCAACCTTCTTCAAGACCACTCGCTTCAAGCGATTGGACAAGGCCATCTTTGACTATGACAAGCTGTCGCAGCAGGAGCTTCCCAACATGACAGCGAAATGGGCATTGAAATAGGAGATATGGAGTTGTCCCCATCCAAAAAATTGAGCATATTTAGTATTGAACAGTTGAAACTCCCATATGATCTATAAATGGAGTATTCCATCAAACCATGTTTGATTATCAGGTGCTTTTTTATTTTCTCTGCACAGCCTTAGGTCCAAGTTAACGCTAGTCATAGATGGATATTGTGCAGCCAAGAAAAAAATGGAAAATTTACAACAACACCCTACGACTATATAGTTATCACAATTGTTGTCACCATTTTTGGGGGTTTGACTGCTGATCTCCCTGAGATGGCGATGGAAAGAGAGAGAGAATCCAACTCGGACCATATCCAAGAGATTCCAAGAGCCAAATCTTTGGAACTATGTTAACTGTTAATTATGTTTTTTTGAGATTCCCATGTTGATGCAAAATCGGGTGGTTTAGATCATTGAATGGTTGAATGGTTTGATTTGCATATAGTTTTATTTTTTGCTGTGTGTAGCCATACATACAGATAGATACATTGATGGATCGATAGATAGATAGATGTGAGATGTGCATGCAGATGTGCGGCATGATGTGGCTTATGGACATGTGGTGACTAATGACACATCATTTTCTGAGAAATTCCTGCTTATATACATGTGATATGCATCCCGGTGTAGATTCTGTAAACCAGGCGGGATGGGCCAATATATAATATATGTGTCAATACGTTTCCTCAAATGAAAAGGCAACAATATGAACTACGACGAACTATGGGTAGGTTCCACCAGCAAGAACACTATAGTTTCTTATATCTTGGGTAGCTAAGGTGCACATTCTTGACATTTCTTGACCCCCAAGCAGCTATTCCAGGAGCTGTTAAGTGCTCGTGTCGACAATGACGTGGAGGTGCACAGAAAAACCAATCAACCAATGGGCAATCCCCGTGCATGTCAGTGGGAAAGTTCGCCTGCAAGCCATGTTTGATTAGCAGAGGGTAAGTTGGTTGAACATGGTTGAACTATACCCTCTGGTTATTTAACATAGCCATGGTATAGATGGCCCATTTATAGATGGTTTACCTATTAAAAATGGTGATTTTCCATGGCTATGTAAAATAACCAGATGGTATAGGTAATTTCATTGATAGACACTTATTTGGAGTTACAAACATTTATCAAGCAACTTTGAGCTGGGTGGCCTGGGGGGTCCTTCCCGTGCTGATGGTGATCTTCTGATTGCATGCATGCCTTTGCATGCGCGCGTATGTAGTTTATTTGCTTTTGTGTTCAACGGCATTAGTAAAGGTATGTACAGATTCTATTTGTGTGCACGATGCGATGAATGCATTTAGTGCTTTGTGCCAGCCACATTGCTTTTGTTTGCTGGTTTCCTGTACCAACACCAAGGGTGTTTGTTTTAATTGCTCCTGTATTTTACAAGAACAACCTTGGTTTTGCTTGTTCATGACTTAAATGCTGGCATCATTGATCGAGGACACAATGTGATACACTCCCAGCTAAAAGATACTGTAATTGCAATTAAGGTGATATAGCCACATGTAAAACAGCTGTCTAAATCAAAATTTACTGTCCGAGCCCCTCACCATAGATGATGACTATAAATTGCCCAATTACGATTGATATCTATATATAAATAAGTGTTATCATACTTAAATCAATATATATATATATATTCAAACTGCCACTTCTACCCCCATTTCCTCAGATTCGCAACAAAAAATTGCCGCGCCAGCAAAAATGCCTTCACCGAGTGAACCGTGGAAACATTGCCTTGGCCGTCATTTTGGAGGATGGCCGGGGGTGCTGGTGCTGGGAGGCTGGTCCCCAACTGACAAGGTTCTTACGAGGTGGGGGAGTTACATGTTTCAATATATTGCTTCTGCAGCCTCGATGCATCATTCAGTTGGTCATGTGGTTTCATGATGTTTCAAGAGTCGAACTTGTTTTACTGTATGATGTAATATTCTGTTCGTATTTTCGTTGGTGACTACTTCACAACTCCTTACAGCCGGGTTGCCGAGTTGCCAGGATCGACTCCAAAAGCCACTTGGAACAAAGTGGCCAGGGTGGCCGGTGACATGCGAAGTAAAGGTGATTGTCAAATGATGTTAACTAAACTGGTTGGTGGTTTGGAACATTTTATATTTTTCCATATATTGGGAATACTTTTCCCATTGACTAATATTTTTCAGAGGGGATGAAACCACCAACCAGTAAATTTTACTAACAAACATATGAACTTGAGGAAGTATCAAAGTATTACTAGCTTGCTAGCTTCATGATTGAGCATGATAGAACTATTTCTGCTTCAGGAATATTTTTCAAAATATTTCAAATGGTTTAACATAGCTATGGGCTATGGTATAGATGTCCCATGAAAATCGATGATAAGAACGATTAACGATGATGATTAACGATGATTTACCTACTAAAACTTTTACATAGCTACGTTGAGGAACCAGACGGTTTTGCTGCAGGTTTCCCTTGGTATCTGCGGGTTCCCGGGTTTTTCAAAACCCTGGCTACCAGGTCGTAGCGAAATACCAATCTAGCTAGTAAAACCAACTTAAGTTGATTTGATACTGTGTTGTTGGTCACGTACTTTGATTTACTGCAAAAGTGGTGAAGGCAGATTGATGTACCCAAGAATTCTGGATCAATCTAGGTGAAGGCTACTTGACTGTAAGTTAAAAAACGAAAAACATGTCTTTTTGAATGGGAATAGCAACATAATTCAACAGCCATTCAACAGCTAAAAAATGCAGTTTATGTAAGATGGGCAATGTTTATATAGATGGTTTACTGCAATGCTTCTTCTGGGAATGGCGCGTGAAGGAAAAACATACGCCTGTTTAAGTCCTTAATAAGTTCATATAAGCGGTATTACAAGTATTCACTGTATTCACCATAGCTGGCGTAACCTTTATCAGGCGATTTCAATGATTAAAATCATCCTAACCACAAATTAGATTCTTTTTGGCGATCTCAGATTCACCACGTTTTTTTTATTCACCATTACGCAGGGGGGCTGAAGCATCTGAAGCCATGCCCGTGGGGAAAAAAGAGACCTGATGATCTCACCTTAGCTGCCTCCAGTGTTTACCCTCTGGTTATGACTAACATAGCCATGGTATAGATGGCCCTAATCGAAATAGATGGTTTACCTTGAAAATGGGGATTTTCCATGGCGAACTGTGAATGTCATAACCAGATGGTACATCCCGTTTTTTTCAAAACATCCGTGATCCTCCGTGTTTGTACTCCTGGTGTCTGAGGAAGAATGGGAGTGCAGCTGGACAAGGTCACATTTTGTGCGTCGCTTGGCTGTCCTTTGTGATGGGATAACTGGGATGATCATCCTATCAATGGGAATTCCAGGATCCTAAAATGCAGGTACTGCACCATATAAGGCCAAATTTTGCTGGGACATAGGCCTTACATAGGCCTTACATATGGTAGGTACCTCCAATTTAGGATCCTGAAATTCCCATTGATCCTACTGGGGCCACTGGGGAACTAGGTCAACTTGATGTTTAAGGCTTGAGATCATAAAGATGTATTCCCATCCCCTTCACGAAGTAAAAAAGACCAGGCTCTCATTTTATGAACGGAAAGAATACAGAACCTTTGGTTGGTGGTTTGGAACATGAATTTTATTTTCCATGATAATTATATGGGTTGTCATCCCAACCCCTTTGACTTTCATTCATATTTTTCAAGATGGTTATATAAAACCACCAACCAGATTATTATTAATCATCATTCACCATATAATAACCACATATTAACCATCATTAACCATCATTAATCAAACAGAAGCCTTTTTTTGGGGTGGGGAAGTGTCTGGCCGCCTTGGCAGGTGGTGAATACCCATATCCTTTGCGACCCGGGTGCAGCAGATGTGAAACTTTTCCAAGCGCATCTCCTGTTGAAGGCCCGTAACGTGGGAGATTTGGGTTCGGGATAGCCATAAAATCAGATTCTTATTGAGGGAAACTGATGATGATAAGACACTATGGTTTACTATGGTTTATTATGGTAAACCTCACCATAGGATTTTTTGTGTGCCCTACATGAAGCAACAAGTCTACTGCCGCAACTACGTGAAGCAGAGACTGCAACGCATGGTATGACATGGACACAAATCTATGCAGTCTATATGAGTTCTTTTGCCGCATACTATATGATTAATATTTGAATATCTACCCAGCAATGCAAAGAATGGAGCCCACACTTCAAACAACTCCAGGGAAGTAAGGGGAGGTAAGGGGAGTACATAGGTGATTTTGCTCGTAGGCAACCAGTGCGCCTTATGTTTGGCATTGTTGGTTCTGCGCCTGTCATGAATCAAGGTCAGTACAGTCATATCAAATTGCCACGGAAGAAAGGCACTGTTTGCTGGAAGGTTGGAAATAATGTTCCAGGTTCTTTTGAGCATGCAGATGTTCCAGGTAGCCATGTTTGATGCCCGGTTGCGGCACCCGGTGGGGCACTGTTTATGAGGCCATTCAGGGAACCACCGCATGTCGCATGCCCATTTTGGTGTGTGGCCACTGGGCCGTGATGGGAGGTCGCGGGGGAAGTGACAGGAGCAGTTCAGCCAACATCCATCAAAATGCCATATCTACATCATCTACCCTCCACAAAACATGCAAAAAACAAATGAAAAAACATCGAACAACTATGGAACTCCATGGGTTTCTCTTGGAGATTGTCATGATCTATGTAACATGAGGGATTTTCCTGGAAGGATCCCATATGACTGGGTAAACATAACGACCTCACTGTGACCTCATGATGATGGTTGAATAGAGATAACTATCCCAATATATGTCAGGTTAGTGACATATTGAAATTTATCCAGATATACTAGTGCATCCTTAGTATCTGAGATATACGAAGCGTACGATAGCCATGACTTACCGCGTACGTCCGTATTCAGGATGCAAATCCAAGTACTTAGTCAGCCTCCAAGCGGAAGATGATGGTGGCCATGTTTGTTGACCGGATGGGACGGGACCTTTCATGTGAAAAATCCCGTTCCCTTGACATATTAAAATACATTAAGCACTCCAGATTTTTTTTGTTTGGAAACTCTTCTTTAGTCTCGGATTTAAGATCATTGTGGGGGCCAAATGGGACAATGTTATATGAAGGGGGGAGGGATTACCCACACAATCACACGCGATTATATATATATACATATACACATATATACATATATATATACACATATATATACATACACATATATGTATATATACATACATACATACATATATATATATATTGATCTACATACTGTACATAATCATGCATATGCAGATGCATATACATATATTTATTTAGGTATATAATACATATTTGTTGTACATACATTGCATGCTACATGTCGCTGCAGCGCGGCCTGAGGCGATTTTAATTCGACCCCCGACTCCGCTGTCTACGAGTATTTCCGTCGTGGCCAAGTCACCCGCCCGGCGCAGTGTTCGGAGTGGAAGTGATTGATGAAATTGGATGGTTCAACCAAGAAAACACATGGTTTAACCAACAAAAATGATATGTCAGAGGATATAATCGGAACTAATGGGATATAGTGGGAATGTGTATATATATATATAGCACCCAAGAGATCAACAAGTTGGACTGCTGGAAAAGCCTGGCATCTGGCATCTATACGTTTCCATCTTTTTGGGCTTACTATATGTACAGAAAAATATGCACAAGTAGAACTACTCGATTTTTACAAACCATGTTTGTTTCCCGAACGGCAGCTAACCAATGCATAAGGTCTCTGGGAAATTCTGAAGGAAACCTCTGGGTTAAAGACGTCGCATGATCATCCTTCAAACTCTTCCAACACATTTTACTGGGAGAAAGCACATGGATTTTCAGGGTTTTACCCTCCAGTAAACCAACATAACTGTATGGGAAATCACAATTTTTCATGGGTAAATCAACTATAAATGGCAATTTTCAATAGCTATGTTCGTTTACCAGAGGGTATATATGGTTTTGTCCTACCTACCAACTCTTTTGGCATCAACGTAGCTGTTGCGAAGCGCCAGGTGAGACAAGATCATGAAGATCTCAAGAAAGATCCTGCCGGTCTAATGAGGCGGACTGATTCGTTGGGCACTGGACAAACATCATTTGGTTGGTGGTTTGGAACATTTTTTATTTTTCTATATATTGGGAACTAGGTGAACAACTGACTAATATTTTTCAGAGCCAGTCATCCATTTAAGCGTTGATTGGTCATTGTTCCATCAAGAATTGATCCATTACTGTGAACAACATGGACCCAAACCAAGCGGTGTATGGTACCCTCTGGTTATGACTAACATCGCCATGGTATAGATGGCCCATAGAAATAGATGGTTTACCTATTAAGAATGGTAATTTTCCACGGCTATGTTAAATAACCAGATGGTAGTTTTTTTTGAATACCCCGAAATTTTGTCGGGGATGGGATGGAAACACAAGCAAGAAGCGCTATCAAACACTTTGTCAGCGAAGCTGTTGTGAAACTGGAGCCCCCCAAAAACTTGGAGGATCATCTCACTTAGAAACTGCGCATTATGGGCTAGGTTATAAAAGTGGCACCCAAGTAACAAATGGGACACCCCGCGATTTCTTTTAGTGGTTCTTGACCAGTTGCTCATGCGTAGTAGTAAACCAGAGCAATCGCCCATAAACCTCCAATTCCGGATAGTTTATACCACCTATGTTTACCCATTGGTGCTTATTTGTCGTAAGCAGGCATTATGCAGTTAATTGAAGAACATGAAGAACATTGATAAAGTTATATGTTTCAACCATGATTTTAGTTTCATTACCCATTTGGACATGTTAAGCACATGTTCACAGTAAAGTCCATTGCAGAACTTGTGCACGACACCGACATGAACTCGGTCGGAACCCCACCTTAATTATCAACTTGCTTTTGGCTTTGCCACCTTGAAACATAACTATTCATGAAACATTATTCATTATATAATTAATGACACACAGATAGAACAGTTAGTATTAGTAACCGCTGTCCATGAAAATAATCCATTATCATCGATTAAGGACCCGCCATTACCCATATATTTGCCATAATTCCTTCAAACTGAGATAAGATATATCTACAATCTATTGTTGATCATCCATTCACAAACCACTAAGATTCTTGATGAATCAATGGGCCCTAATCACTTGATCGATTATCACGTGAAGCTTTTGATTGCTGAGATCCATAAATAGAACAAACTGTTTGATGTCAATTGGTTATCCGGATGCAAATCCAATATTGAATAAATAATTAATCAGTAGATTCCAAACAATGATGTTAATCCCATGAAAGTACCATTTGCAATCTCGATGCCATGGTGTCAATTGTCCAGTACAATATTGGTGATTAATATCAGTGTTTAATTGCATTGTTTAACATTGATTCATCGTAGTTAATCAGTAATAGCATCAATAACCTTGGTTAGTTTGCATTGTGATGAAAGAGGTTCAAATTATCATTCATAGCTATATTAAGATAGTGAAATAACTAGAAACCCGTTGCTAACTTTGTCAACTTTGTTTGATACTTGAGTACTTTAAGCTTTTGCTATGGTAAAAGTAGTCCATTCACCAGCTAAAATATGCAGTTATTTTCTGGCAGGTATCTAAGATTCACCATGGTTCAAACCCATTATTAATAGGACACTTCCACATATTTCTGAGGAAAAAAGGCAAAAACACATGGTTTCCTTCAAATTTTCCCACCAATCCAATGAACCATCAACTGACCATAGAATTAACCATAGAATTAACCATAGAATTAACCATACTGGTTGGTCGTTTGGAACAGTTTTTTCCATATATTGGGAATAATCATCCCAACTGACTATCATATTTTTCAGAGAGGTTGAAACCACCAACCAGCATAGAATTAACCATTCGCGTCGGATTCCCCCATCGCCATTCGTTGTCGGTCAGGCTCCTGCATTTGCAGAGTGGCACCTGTATGGCCACGGCCTATGAGACCTGCACGGGCAAGGAGGCGCGACAGCGGCGCGATCTTCCGCTGTTGGACACAGCGTGTTGGAAAAAGATGTGGGGATTCACTATCCAAAAGAATATGAATTATATATACGTACAATTATGTATATATATATGTGTGTGTGTGTATTTCTTGTGAGATGGCGATATATATATATGTGTGTGTGTGTTATTTATATATATATATATATGGTAACCAGAAAATTGTTGTTGTTGTTTTGTTAGCATCAAATTTTGACTTCACCAACTTGACCAGCAAACAGAATATATTTAAGAAACAACGATTGGGCTGTACATGGGCTGTAGATGTGATTTATGGTTTCTAGTGATTCTAGTGGTTTATAGCTATTTATATAAGCCTTGATTTCTTCATGGATATGAGTCTGCAGTTGGATTGGTAAAAATAAACTAGCTCAAATTACTGGGGGGGAAGCGGGGAATACCATGGAATACCGCTGCTTTTTTGATTAGAGAAAAATGATCATAATGATAAGCATTGTTTTTTTTTGGGGCGCCAGATTTGTAGGCAAATCCTTACAGGTGAATGTTTAGCTACATACATACTTATATACATCATACATCATAACTTATATATATATATTTGAATATGGTGATAGTATGTCACACCATTTTTTGGAGAACAATTTGCTAGATTGTTTGGAATGACGAATCATCAGTGGGTAGGGATGAAGTCCAAAAGCATGGTTTTTGGGAGCTGTATGTTTGTAGTCAGCAAGAATGTTTGACCATGTATGTTTATAAATATTCATCAATCGCTGATGTTCAACCAACTGCTAGTTGAAATCATTTACATCTTTTTAGATACATATGCCATTTGAGTGTTTTACATATTTCAAAAAATTGACGTTTCTGGCCAGCCCATGCCAGCAGAATCCCGGCCTTTTGGTCATGGATTTCGGTGGTTGATCCGTTCCCTTTTTCCAAGGCGACCTTCACCAATTACACAGAGGATTTCAAGGGGACGTTGGACTACATCTGGCCCCTTGGATCCCAGCAGGTCTTTTAAAAAAGGATCTGGGTTCCTACAATGTGGGCCCCCCCAGTTATAAGTTGGTTTATAAACCCTAGTAACTATAGTTATAAGTATCATAAACCATAGTTATTGGAGTTTTTGTAACCAACTTAGCTATCTAGGGGGCCCCACTTTGTAAGTTTTGGGTGCTAGATGAACTACTTTAATGATATTTATCAATGTTTTAATGACAGATTCCGCCATGTGACCAATCTTGGTGGCTTTGATTTGCAGGTGCTTCGGCATCACAGGGATTCGAAAGATCACGTGGTTTGTGGGTTCCAAGACTTTATCCTCAATAGAATGTGATTACCAAGCCTATGATCAATTGTTCATAATTGTTTTGGGAAAGTTTGCAGCGCCAACCAGATCGCCTTGTAATTGCATGCAATTGTTAAAGATCTTCTTTCCTCAAGGTCCAGCGTAGGTGAACGAAACATGTTCAGCATTGGTGTTGATGAATCCCCCAGCAATGGAACATGTGCATCCCGCATCAATGGCCAATTCCGGTACCTAAAATCAATGTACTGTATCATACCACATGCCACCATATGTCGTGGCCGTCATAGGCCTTACATTATTACCATCTCCAACCTTGGATAGGAAGTTTAATCCTCGAATTTCTTGCTCTATAAATGGAAAATTGCCATATATATATATAGAACCAGAAACACATTAATTTGTGGTGAATTACCAAAGATTGACCTGTTATGAATCTGGTTCCCTGAACTGAGTCCCCCCGCGATTTCTTGGCATCCCCCCTAGGTTTTCACCGGACAACCTTTCGGTCCTGGCGATTTCTCAAGTGGACGATGAAGCACAGCTGTCACAGGATGCGTTTGTCAACATGTGTCAACTGCTTTAAAGGTTGATATTGTTATTTCGTATGGACTATGGGATGATCATAATTCGATGTGCATCCCACTAGTCACTAGTTCAGGTTCAGGAGAATGATATGAGCTGCTCATAAAGTGGTCGTATAACCTGCTCACAAATTGTTCTCAACCCATTTTTTTGGGGTCATGGGTTATCAACCACTTACCAGCCTTTTATGCGCTTCCTAGTCGGTTAGAGCGAGTCCATTCTTGACTCTCTTAGCGAAAAAAAGAGGTCTCCCCAGTTTGATCGTTTTCAACATGGTGGATTTGTGCAGCATCGAGAACTGCTACCCTCTGGTTATTTAACATAGCCATGGAAAATAACCATTTTTAATAGGTAAACCCAAAAAAATAGGCCATTTTCCATGGCTATGTTGAATAACCAGATGGTAACATCTTATTTCTACAGACATTGCCTTTTCTCTTTGCCAAACATTGGTTTGAATCTCCGCGTTTGTCGATTTGTGATCCTTAGATCTCATTTTTTCTTGGGTCAAACCCTAGTTGTGCTGCTTACATCCCAAAAGTTGGTTTTCTTGGTTCAATCCGCATTGTGTTGCTTAACTCCATTTTGTTCCTAGATATTGCTGCTATATCTTGCTTAATTCCACATTCTTGATCATTGTTGCTGGTGAAATTCCGGTGTTCTCTTGTTTCAATCCACATATGTCTTGTTTAAACCCAAGTTTCCTTGCGAAGCTTCACCCCTCGCGCAGGAGAGCGCTTTGCCGTCGAGCACTCGGCCTTCAGACCATGTGTCGCTGGTGGCCACGTTCATGTTCCACGACGCTCACGAGCCTGAACCACAGGTAGCTGATGGGGGCGGCAACGTTTTGCTGTGTATATCTGCAGACCTTGGGTAGAATCATCATTATATGGGGAGGATATGGGAGAATCATCAAGAAATACGGACGTTGGGGTCATGAGCAAACTAGAGATTTAATGAGCCGGTACCACGAGTAGCTGAATATGCAGAGCTAGAATTTGGTTTCCCTGCACTTGAATGGAATATGTTCATATATCCCAATTCGACATACCCCAGAAACATTGGTTAGCTAGTATTCCCGAGCAATGATTGATTTCTAGGGATAATATCCCTTTTGGCCCAAAAATAATCTATTACACATGTCATGCCATTTTTTTGTTATGATGCTCGTTGCAGGTCGCGACACGACGAGGTATGACGATGATGACAAACCATCCGCATGGGAACATGGACTCTTTGCTAAGAACTCGCCGTTACCAGGGATCAAGGGCAAAGGTGCCGGAAAGTAGACATCATATGATACTGGCATCATACATACTGTTACATACTTATATACAACTTAGATTTAAAGATATCTGGAGATATTCATGTGCAGGCGGGAAGGTCTTCCAAGAGTTTCTCATGGGTTTCTCAATGATTGGGACATGTGGTTTAGTGATCCCAAATTCAGACATTTCAATTCTTTCATGCCTAGAAAATGAGGATCTGGAGATAGAGGCTTCCCGACTTCCCGAAACGAAAGCTGGGGAATCAACGGGTTTGGGTGCAAGATTGAGATTATTGTTTACCCCCCGGTAGTTTAACATAGCTATGGAAAATTGCCATTTATAGTTGATTTACCTACAATAAATTGTGTTTTTCCATAGCTATGTTAAATTACCAGAGGGTAATTGAAGAGACAGAGCTAGAGAGAACCAGAGAGTGTCGCTATGAATTTGTACATGACCCCAGGATTACCATGTTTGAATATTTGATGATATATGATATGCACATATATTATATATTGTGTGCAAATGGGTGCTGTCAAGGAGGAAGCACCCAACCAGATATTTACATAATATCATTAAGATCTCATTAAGTCTATAGTCGATAGCCGGCAAAAAAAAAACAAGAGAGTGGCATTTGGTGATGCATCATGATACACCAGAAGTGATTAACAGCCCATGTAAGTATTTTGGGATTTTCCAGCACATAAACCATCCAGCGTTTTTGGGGTACCCTCCATGACTATGGAAACACCCACAAAGCATTTCCACCTGAGGCTCACCAGATGGGGCACTATGGTCATGTTCAACATGGCACTGCGCCCGGAGGCACCGTTTTTATTACGTTGGAGGGGTCGACTACTCTGGAGAAAGGTGATCCCCAAGTGTTTTGACCATCAAATTGGTTGGGTTTTCCTATATTTTCTTCCCTTAAACCAATCCAATGAACATAGATTCATGTAGAATAATTATTGTAGAATGTGTTTGTGCATGTCCGTTCAATAGACAGATCTGTAGATAAATGCAGCGCACTAATTTGCGTTTGCTGCAGGTTACTTTCGAAAGAACATGTGTGACCAACCATGGCCACACAGGGGATGTGTCCTGATTCAGCACCAGGAATCGGCAATTGTGCTTGTCCATAAAGGTACCCTCAAGTGATCAAACACAGCAGTGCAAAACCCACCAAATTATAGATTATTTTCCCATGAAAACCTTCATTTATGATGGATTTCCGATTGCCATCTTTGATTACCGGAGGGTCCCCATTTTAAGATAGTTGGGTCTATCCAAGAGGCTATAGCAGTTTGAACTCCTTCATGTGCGAGACACTAATGGAACATGATGGCTCATCACTTGCGCTCTCTCCACCAGTAGCCTACCTGGCCTAGGTGATATGGGCTATGCGATGGGGGCTATGGGCTACCCACAGCAGTATCTGTGATCCTGGAGGCTTCTCGCCGGAATGCGTGTGCATTGGAGCATTACGAGAAGCTCCGATGCCATTGTTTCACTTTGTTTAGTGTGTTGATGTTGCTTGGGTGACCTGACGTTGCCAAGTTTGTTTCTTGTCAGTGTTGCTCTTGTTCCTTCTGGTGTTCTTGACTATTGGTGTTGCTGCTTGTGGCTGTGTTTTTTGTTGGTTTCTCTCACCTCATGTGGGTCTGCTTGAGAATATGGTACCCCTAAACCCTGATTGATCCTCATATACACTATTAAAATTGCTCTTCAGACAGTCCCATGTGCTGTGAAGTGTCACCGGATCTTTCAAACTGCAAAATCCAAGGGATACTGGCCATGTTGAGCCGAGGTATGGGTCGAGAGTGTTTGAATTGCTGGCCATTGGACAGATACTTGGCAGAGGAAGAGCTTATAGTGAGAAGCAGCGGATGAACGCTGAATGATCAATGGATAATTCACGATTATGGTTATCAATCGATATTAGATGTTTATTATAGGGTTATGGCTGGATAATTACTAATGGTTATTCGGTTATACAACGATTACTATAGTCTATAGTTGTGATTGATAGATATTCATGGATAATGATTAATTAATGGAGAATGATCAGCAGACAATGATAAATCATTGTTGATTGTTCTCCGTGACTAAGCCGACTAAGCGAGGGTTTCCCAAACGGTGTTCAGTTTATTGTCAGAGTGCGGCGCTTAGCTCCGTTCAAGTTACCAGCATCACCAGGTTACCAGGATTTCCACTTATAGCCACATATTATGATCACATATTCGCATGTCGTTTCCATGTTTTCCGGCTGCACATCCCCACAGGCCTGACATATAGGCCGTGCTTTAATTCTTTATTCTTTACATCTTGTAATCTCCACAGGAGATTGAAATTTCAGGATTTTTGCTTCATATCATCTTGCAGTCCCTGGCCAGCAATATCCACATTACCTCCATAATTTTTATAGATGCTTCATCCAAATTGGAGATGTTCCAGCTAGCAGCTAGCCATGCTTGTTCGCGAGAGAGAAATCCCCAAATCGCTAGGACCGCTAGGACATTTGCGCCTTTTCCCGCTGCGACATACTGCAACACTGAGGATATATGGTCTTCCGGATTGTAGTGTGACCTGCACTGAACCGGTGTGTGCCGGACCCGGTTCGGCACAGGTGAAATGTGGCATATCGTGGCAGTAAAAACAGTGACGCGCGATGCGATGGGTGCTGAGAACATAATCTCACAAGGATGAGAAGTAAGATCTTCGGAAAACTTATGTTACATGATTCGACTATTTAAGAATATCTGCATGTATATCCAACATATTCGAACTTCATTGTATGATGGCGTCTCTTTCTGGACACCCACTTTTTTTGCAGGTGCAACTGGCCCACATCTAATTTTGTCAATTCCATAGCCGATAGCCCAACTACATCCAGACGCGACTTTCCGAAGATCTGACATCAATCCGGAATTCTTTACAAAGCAGCGCCCCGTCGTTTGCAGCTTTGCTCATGCCAAAAGAAACACATTCTTTGTATGCACATGCAGTATACACCTAGAGAATCATGCATGCATGTGCATGGTACTGTATATGATAATTGGTGGTGTTGGAGCTCTTACGCGTGTTGTGATGTTTACCAAAAGGCAATTTGTTGGATGCAGTTGACGCCAATTCCCTGCAAGCTTGGCCACTTTTTGTTTGCATATGCAATAAGCATACCACATTGTTATTTATATATATATATACATTGTTATTATGAAAGAATTTCATATAGAATCACACGCTCGCGCACACATGTTATGCACACCATTAATCAGTATTAATCAGTATTATATATATGTGTATGTGTGTGTATGCGTGTGTGCATGTGAGCATGTTATAATATTGTTAGGTAATTGACCCACCTACCTGGAAAAAAGACAACTATTGTATACAATCATTGGGGAATCATAATCCCAGCTAGCAAATATGGAAGTTCAAAGAAACATCTTGAAAGCACCAAACAACAAGAAGTGTTTGGCTACGTTGGGTTCACACATATTTTGGCAAATTGCATGTTTTCGCAGAAGAAATGGATCACCCTTGGGGGACAGACCACAAACATCAGTGAATCATCTTAGCATTTTTCGGCCTTGGGGGCAGCTAGCTTCCAAACGGTTGTAGAGATCATCAGTAACTGAGCCAGCCGACTGTACCGCAGTAGCATGATTTTTTGAGCGGACATATCGTCGGACACATTTGGGTGATTGTTTGCTTATGAAATCAATACACCCTCAGAGATTTCAGTATGACTTGTGCTTCTGCTAAGAACAAGCCTTAGATTTGAGGAAACCGGAAACGGGTGCAGTTGGATGTGGGAAGGTTAGCGGTGAAATGCAACATCGCACATCGCACGTCATTGCATTTATCGTGGCAAAATCGCGGCAATCGCATTCATTTCCCACACTTGGATCTCACAGGTGGCAGGTAATATATATATATATATATATTTATTTATTTACAACATACTTACATACACACACATTATATATATATGTGTGTGTGTATATTTATTTATATATAATGTCAACCCTGGATTAATAAACCCTTGGGCTGGTTAATTGGGGGGGTACCATTTAAGTATTGGATTATGACTATTGGAGGAGTACCCCCCTAATTAATAAACCATGGTTTATTAATCCGGGGTTGACATTATATATATTATACCAGTACATAGTACCGCACAATGCGGTGGCGGAAGTTTCAAAAATTGGAAACCTATAGGAGAGGTTGGTTGTTGTGAATCATGGATGGCAGAGCGAATCCACTGATGGACCGAAAGGTGGTTGGAGTTGTGTTTTTTGGTCACCTCACCCTCAACTGCTGGAGGTAGTGTGGTGTAGTGCAGCTGTAGTTGTAGTGCAGCTGTAGTTGTAGTTGTAGTGTAGTGGAGTTGTAGCTGTGGTGTAGTGTAATTAGTGTAGTGTAATCGCAGTTGCATTTGTGGTGGTGTAATGAGTGTAGTGTACTGTAATGTAGGGTAGTGTAATGTGGTGTGGTGTAGTGGGGTGTAGTGTAGTGTAGGGTCATGTAATGTCATTAGTGTCGTGTACTTGTTTTGCAGTTGTAGTTGCAGCTGTAGTTGTAGTTGCAGGTAGTGTAGTGGAATGTA